GTAACGTAAACGACTACTACTACTAATAATAGTAGAAACGAAACTAATACTGTATCATTAATTATTTAGTTAGTAATTATTAGTCGATAGTGCTTACTTCTCTCTCTCTCTCTCTCTCTCTCTCTCTCTCGCTCTCTCTCTCATCGTTTCGAATATATTACTCATTCAAACAAAATCATATAAGAAATAATTCTTAAATAATAACAACACACATTAATGATAATACTACACATAAATATTACAATTATATAATAATATCGTAATTATAATAGTTATATAATAATACAATACCATTTTATCAGTATTAAAATAATTTTATAATATTGATGAGCATTATAGTAAAATATATAATATTTTAATATTAATATAATACGATACTAAAATATTCAGATAATATTATTACAATAAAAATATAATGATATAATAGTCACGGTACTAAAATATTCAGATAATAACATAATAGTATAATAAAAATATAATGATATTATAGTTGCTATTATAGTATATTATTAATAATATTAACACTAATGATGTTGATGATATTTCATAATAAAATGTTGATATTTCATAATAAATATTTCAAATAATGATAATGACAACAACAGCAAGCGTAGGTTCGAAAGCCAAGAAGCAACGCTAGCATGAAAGCCGTTGCGTTAATGCGCATCTGTTTTCTTGCCCGAGCAGGTGCTTTGAGTGCTACGCTAGCATTGGCAACTATCACGTGCGCATTGCGAAAGGAGAAGAGCCTAAGACTATGTGGTGCGCATTGCGAAAGGAGATGAGCCTAAGACTACGTGTGTAACGCGATATGGTGCATTTGAGTTCTTGGTCAGTGCCAAGCCTTTTTGGGCAGTTCTTCTGTATAGAGCAAGCATCGGCTTTAAGAACTTTCGTCAGCTCATAAGGAGAAGAGTGACCATGGATTTGGCTCTGAGCAGCTTCATAGGGGACAAATTGAATCGATCGCGTCTCCTTGCGCTCATCATCGCCATAGATCCACTGAACTGAAAGAAACCTCAGAAACAGGAGAAACTGAGGAAGAAACATATGTATAAATAGAATAAAATATTTAAATGATCATTATTTTAATAATAAATGTTTTAAATAATAACAATATGCATAAATAATAATAATACACATAAATATTACAATTATATAATAATATCATAATTATAATTATTATTATTAATAATTTTATAATATTGATGAGTATTATAGTCAAATATATAATATTTTAATATTAATATAACACAATACTAAAATATTCAGATAATAACATAATATAATAATAAAAGTATAATGATATTATAGTTGCTATTATAGTTTATTATTAATAATATTAACACTAATGAGAGATTTAATTGGTAATAAGAAAAAGAAAGGGGGAAAAGCAACTAAGCTAGAGCAACCATGGTGAAAGCCGTCATCCCCAACCTCTGCTTAGCTGGAATGACATCTACAAGTTGTACCCCAAACTCTCCTCCAAGCCTGCTCGTCCATCAGTTGCACCCCCTGCTCAACCCACCCCCCAGCCTCCTCGAGTGCTAACCTCCCCCCCTTTGCCTGCTTCCTTTTCTCAAGTGGTAACCTCCCATAAACCAGCTCCGTCAAAATCCTCCACCCCCCTTTATCCTCCCCACACCCCGTCGCCAGAAGGGGTCCCAGTTCCATCTGTCCACTCCCCGTCTCCGTCCTCCCCTTCTTCATCCCTACCCCCCATTTTGAATCCAAGAAGGCCTCGTCTAAACCTCTGGCCTCTCTGGTTGGAAGGTTCCAACCTAACCGGGGTGACATTAGAGGTATAGAAAGAAGGGCCCAAATACATTGGGGGGAGCCGAACCTTGTGTGCCAACATATCTCTAATGGAGACATCTTGTTCTCCTTTCCCTCCCCGACAGCTGCCCAACGCATTTTACAGGAAGCTAATATGTTTTCCTTCAAAGGGGCATCCTACTCACTTCGAGCCTGGTCAGTGAGGGGTCGTTTAGAAGACAAAAGGTTTGGCTTACTTTTGACCATATTCCCCTCCAAGCATGGACACCGGAAACCTTCCGATGTTTGGCAAAAGCTTGCGGGTCCTTCGCTTCCATTCACTGGATTTCTATTGAGACTCTCCCCTTGGAGCTATCCGTGTTCTGGTGGACGTCCCGGATACTACCTGCATCCCCCCGACCTTATGGCTAGAAGTTGATGATCTCCTCTTCCATGTCTTGGCCTCTTGGAAGTTGGCCTCTCCCCCCTCTCCCGACTTTCTCCTCAACTCTTCCCCGGCTAAACCACCGGCTCCCTCACCTTACTCTTGGACCCTAGTTACTAAGAGAGCTCACCACCAGAAGAGGCGACGCCGGCAGCCGCCTGCTTGGCCCCGGCCTTATCATGACAACCTACCAATCTTCCCTCTCCTCAGCGGGCAGAAAGGCAGGGCCCTCTTTCCGCTCTCCTTGACCCGCTTCTGAGGAGAGATGCCTCTCTTGGGCCCTCTACGCTCATCCCACCCCCGCTATCCACTCATGACCCGGACACCTCCCCGGGTCACTAATGCCGGCCGGACCACACCTTCTCACCTCCTTTCCCCCATCGACCTAGGACGGAGATCCTAGTGGACCTTTCTGTCCCCCCCCCCTCTCTTCGAGCCAGGGGGAGACCTCCAAATCGCCTTCCTCGACAATGCCTTCTCTGCCACACACCCTCCACTCCCTCTGCTGCCCCTTGATTCTCGAGCCTCTCCCTCTTACCACGTGTCCCTCTCCCCTGTCTTCCCCTACTCCTCTGCCGCCCACCTTGTCAGGTCCGCCATTGTGGCCGCCTGCGGGACTGCCACCGTCGCCAACAACCTCCTCACCCCCTGTTATTGTTCTAACATAGGTGCCGCACCCCGCTGTTGTCCTGCCGCCCACCTCATCTTCCTCCCCTTGCAACATGGTGCTTGAGGAACCCTCCCTGATCCATGTGTCACCTGTGCCTCCCCCCCCCGGCCACCTGTCTCCTGAGCTGCCGATCCCTGCAAAGGAGCTGCCCTCCCAACCTCGCCATCTGCCGCCTGGGTCCCCCCTATTCCCCTTCCCTCGTCCCCCCCACACGTCAGCTTCACCCATACCCCCGCCGTCCTCGTCACCTACCCTTGCCGATTTGTCACCTGTCGGTCTC